TCCGTGGGAATTTTAATTGAGCTTCTGACGACTGGGGCGCAATAAGCGCTGGAAAGCGAGCTGCTTCCGACTCGTGATCTCGTCCAGCGCGACCTCGTCGTCTGCACCCGAGAGTAAAAACTTCGCTTCTTGTTGGAATTCACGTAATCCACGTAAATACATTTTTACGAACTCATCACCGACGTTTACTATTGTTTTTTATTCGAGAGTTTTTACTCGTCTTGTCTTTTGTTTGATTTCAGTGAACCTAAAGGATATTTTAATTTTTTATATTTTTCCATTGGTCGTTATTATTATCGTGGAACCATATTAAAATAATTTAATATGTATCCTTCAATTATCTTTATTAATAATTTTTCTCTTTCTCTTTTCTCGAAATAAATTTTTTGAAATAAATAGAACTTTAAATTTAAATTATATTAAAATTAAAGTTTTGTATTTTTTGACTAATTAATAATTAAGATCGTCTCAATCTATTTAGAACTACAAAAAATAAATTTTTGTTAAATTATCTAAAAGTTTAAATAGATGTAGTCTGAAAATAATTTTATTGGACACTAAATAAATATGTAGGACACTTAAGCTTGATGAACGATACTGCAAAAAGTTTTGACATTCTAACAACCAGTTTCAGCGTCCTATATAATTATTTTGATAGCCCAACAAAATTATTTTCAGATCTGTATCTAGCTAAATTTTTAGACACTTCAGCAAAATCGTTCTTTCCATTTAGCATTGTAATTTGTTAGCTTTATGATAATGATGTGTCATTATAATATGATATATCATTCGTATTCATTTATTAGTCATTAACTTATTATTTCTTTTTTACAACAATATAAATTTCTAATTTATTTATCTCAGCGTATTTGCAATGTGTGTAACGGAATCGTCGCTCATGTTTGAGGAATGAATCCTCGAGAACCGACAGCGCGGGATAGCCTACTGACGAAAGAGTCGTCTACTGACCACCTTTCCTCTCCACTGTCAGCAAACGCGTCAAGTGTAAATTGCAGTAGATTCAACCGATCTAGGTCAGATCCTTCGTGCACGACTTGTCGGAACTGCGACCGAGCGCTTCGCGATTAAACGAATCCGCGAATGTGGGAGACTCAGGTTTCCCTCTGAACAGGTTTCCCTTTGCGAGGAAGGTCTTCTTTCTCTCAGCTTCGGAAGCCCCTTATCGCTTCCTGAAATCATACCTGCGTCGGGATCGAGCTTCTTGATTTACGATCTGGGGATACGAAACTGCACACATCGCAGCTTTTACAACTCCACATATACGATTGATCTTTTCATACAACGCGCAATACTTTGCTCGCCAAACTGTTTCGATTCGCGGAATTTTGACGAGGGGATGATTTCGTGCGATACACGATTTAATGAATGGGTTGGAACAACACGCGAAATTCAAAGAAAGTTATCACGAGCAAATTGTACGGTTGCAATTAGAATTATAATTAATCTTTAACTGATACGGGGAAAAGGAGAAAAAGAATCACGCACGTCATGCTACAAGAACGAGATCATTGACATTTCTAAATTTTAAAGTGGGAATGTAGCATTAATAAAATATATCATGCAAATTAAGAAATGAGCACAGTGTTATAGATATTAAAAATAAATTAATAGTTTATTCATACAACATATTTTAAGAATAAAAACGATTCATAGACGAAAAGAATAGTTTTGCTGAAGCATCTAAAAATTTAACTAGATACACACAGATCTGAAAATAATTTTGTTTGGAGCTTCAAAATAATTATGTAGGACATTCAAATTGATTGCTAGAATGTTAAAGTTTTTGTAGCATTGTCACTAACGCTTATCATTCTACATAATTATTTTGATGGTCCAACAAAATTCAAATATGTATCAAACTAAATTTTTAGATAGTTAACCAAACCGTTCTTTTCAAGTATTCATTAAATTTGTTCAACTAATATAAAGAAATAATTTAACAACATATAATTACATAATCGATAAATGTTAACCCAATAAAATTCAAATTTATACCAAAACGTTAAAGTAATTAGGTTCTTATATAAAAATCGCAAAGATTAACAATAAGACCATATCAAAAACTGGTCATATATAAGTGATCGAATAAAATTAAAAAAAAACGGCAAAAATGTCTTAAACATTGGATATCATTTATTATACTTTTCACAGATTCTCTGATTAATTTGAAGTGTTAGAGATATTGCCTGCAGAGAAGTGTCTATTTGATGAATGTAATTATCATAAATACCCCAGTACAGTTAAGGGTTGCATTACAATAATTAGATATCCCATTAAATTGATTGCTCATAAATGGCAAAGTACATCTCTCAATATGCGCGATGGAAACGCCAATTAGTTTAATCGAGTCTCATTCACCTTCTGACGCATATCACGTGCGGAACGAAAGCATAATACAACTGGCGACGCGACGTTTACAAATGTTATACCGGTTATACCTGAAATCGCAAATTGTAGTATGTGCTAAATTATTTATGCTGACATGTCGGCTAGCTACAATGCTCGCACACCATCAATCGCTCAATTCTCACGTTAATGAGTTTGAACTTCAATTTATTTATTACTTCTGTCATATTATTTTCGTACATTGAAAACTTGGTTGCACGAAGATATAACGAGTGGCACGTTCAATTTATTATTCGTAGGTAATAAATTACTTGGGAATGACATCTAATGTACTTGCGATGTAATCTTCTTCAATTTTCAAGATGGAGATAAAAAACAATTTAATGCTTTCTCCGTGCGTATAAGACGCGCAGCAGCGGGACGTTCTCCATGGCGATATCATGTCGTTGTTTCACGGTTCTGGTTTAGTTGATTATTGTTATATGCATACATAACATCTCATTCGACTTGCCATGCCTTGAAGTGCTTCCACTTCAGACAGCAACAATAGTATGGAGAAATATGCAGAGAGCTAGCACGATGCGATAACGATACATTTAATCGTTTGATGTGGAGAGATACGAGACCATTTGCTTATGTATGCGCGCTCATAATTGAACACATTTATATTCGCTAAAGAATAGCGGACTCGCGATCGCACACTCATCGTTCTCATCATCGAAACAGCCGTTTGTGTCGTTTCAAAGGGATATCGAACCGGGCTAATAGTGGAGCTCTTTAGTACGTACATCCGCAGAATTTCTTCACAAAGAAAATCCAATTAGCGGTGCGTATGGCGAGCATTGGCGGCTGTATTTCCCTTCACGTTCATTATCATAGCCGTAGTCCATTAATCGGGTTATCAAATGTGGCGAGGTCGATCGTTAATGTCTATCCTACCTTATTGGACGCTGCTATAAATCCCACCGATCAAATTATATGTCGCGGGTAATGAGCATTTACGATAATAATATATTATAGTAATACTTATATTATTAATCCGTGCGTTATATTGTATAAACGGTAGCTTGTTAATCGCATGGTCGCATTTACGTTCAGTTGTTGCACCAGATTTATCATATTATAGTTACATAGCGCCGCTTGTTATTCCAAATAGATGAATCGCATGGATATTTTCGCATGTATATGTGATACCGTATGATCCACTACACTTTAGCGAATATGCTAATCATCGGCGCTAATCGGGCGGCCTGCTGCAGAATTAAAGCAAAAACCAGTTACGCATGAATTTAATATTAATATCGCGTTTCGCGTATCGTGCGCAACGATGAGAGAAGGTAAAGAGAATTTTTCACGGATATATCAACCCGACATTTCTTATCGTCACGACAAAGAAGGCGGAGAGACGTTTCCATCGAGCGCCAGCTAACTTCCGGTTGGCTCTCTTTCGTGAAAGCCGCGTATCTCGCGTTTTAAACTGCAGTAAAGAAAAAAATTCTGTGTCAGCTTGAGCTTAACGTCAGTGTCGCTCTTTAAATATAAAATGCGAATTGTTATAAAGCACGCAAGTCTTTGTCTCTTAACTCTTTCCTTGATAATTCATAAACTAGACAGATAAATTAACTAGAAGATTAATCGTCGAAAATTATTACATTATAGTAAAAAAAAATTTAAACTTTTCGACAAATCACCATTGTGTATTTTATTTCATTTACTATTCATTTTGTCGCTATTATATTTCAAGCGCAACAGACAGCAATAAAATCTTATGTGAAATGGAGAATTGCGCTTAAGAATTGCTTTTTATTCGAGCAGCCGCGTCTTTTATAGAACTCCTGTTTTTCGATCGAACCGGATAATCTCGAAAAGAAGCGCATCGTCTCACCAATATTGATTTAAGAATAATAAGATGAATGATAAGAGAAATTCAGAAAGAAATAAAAAATGATTCTCGTTTATAAGTAATTAATTAATAAATTGACTTATATAAGAATTAAAAAATATTACACAAAAAAATGTGGCAATGCAACTCCAATAAATCTTTTGAAAAAAATATTCGAAGCAAAAAACTAACGTAATACTCTTATGCACAATCAATATTTACTCTTTCAAAAAATATTGCAGCACAAGAGCAGCACGCAAATACAATACACGCACCGTTGTTATATTTAACAAAATAAATTTAATAATATTAGTATAACTTTTAGTAACGTGCAACTTTCTCGCAAATTATTAATGGTATTGAATATAATATTTATAATTCATTTTATATGTGGGATGTTAACAAACTTCAAAAATTGATAAGAATATAAATGCTTCAAAATGCGTTCTATAACAACAACTTTATACGAATGTAATTACAGTATTGATGATCATTTGCAGGTAGGCATACGCGTTGCGTAATTTAATTTAATTGCATAATTTATATCGCATCATGTGCAAATATAGATTCTTCGTAAATGTGAATATTATTAACGCACTTTTGTCTTCTAAATAATTATTGGCAATACTTTGAGAACAGATTTACATGATTTAATAAAAGTCCATAAGTATTCACAAACAAAAATAGATCCTCTCAACACGTTAGGTATCGATGTTGAGGAAAGCTCACGGTTGTAATACGTATTTCACAGGAAGAAGGAAGCCATTCGCGATGCCAGCTGAGAGGAAGGAAGCGATTTAATGCGATCTCTTGGATCATTTTTCAATGTATGCTACGCGAAGATGTGCTGTCTATTAATACGTAATCGGTTTTATGACATCGCGAGTCATCGTGAAACGCCATTTGGAACTCGCGTCGACTTTTGCAAAGGAATGCTCGTGCAGGTCTGTCAGTACAATTTTACATACTGTAAACAACACATATACGCAAGAAAATAGCACTAAAATAAATTCCTAAAAAAATTTATTCAAATAATTTTTGTTCATATTTTTAAAAAATTGTAATATTTTAATATTAATTTTTGTTCTATAATTATTTTGCCGTATTTTTATAGTGTTAAAAATTAATATTATAATGTAAAAATATATAGTAAAATGCAGGTACTTATATTAAAGAGAAATCTTTATAAAATTAAAATTAAAAATTATGTTTACAAATAATCTGATTTAAAATAAATATCTGTCTTTACTAGAAAAATGTCTATTACAGTCGAAGCTGGATCTTCATTGCTTTAAATAATTCAATCTTGAATTACTAATATATACTATGTATATACTTGCATATATACCATATTGAAGTCTTTTTAGAACTGCGCCGAATTATTTTTCCGGACTATAAACGCAATTAAAACTCTAGTAATCGCGAATTAAATTGACAAGCAATTTAATAATTTGATGCTAAATATGTTGAAACTGTTAATAAATTTATTGCACAGTTCTAAAAAGACTTCAATATGGTATATATATATATATATATAGGGATACATATATAGTGTATATTAATAATATTCAAGATTGAATTATTTAAAGCAATGAAGATTCAGCTTCGTCCGTAATAGGCATTTTTCTAGTATTGATTGTATTTCTCACATATGCGATCTAAAATAAAAATTCTTAATATTGTTTATATCTATCTTTAATATGTAAAATAATAAACATTAAAAATACAAACGATAAATAATTATAAATAATTTACTCTTATATATTTCAGAATTCTTAAAAATTGAAATGCGATTCTTTTAAAATCCAATTATATAAATGTGAGTTATTTATAATTGGATTTGAATTTTTTTATACTCATTAAAAATATTTTTTCATTTTTAAATCAGATTTTTAGTAAATATAATTTTAAGTTTTTATAGTCAAAAATCTATCTTTAATGTAAGTATCTAGTTATTTTTGCTTCTATTTATATTAATTTATATATTTGTAAATATTGTTATAGTATTCAAAGTTTTAGTGGAAATTTTTTTTTTATATTTTTCTATTTATTTTGGTACCGTACAGATTAAAATGTACGTGAAGCTCACTAGTGCGCTTAATCTTATTACCACAGTTTGTTTGTTAGTTACTTCCTCGTTTATTAATAATAGCATGTTCTCTTCATACCATATTTATCTGACTGTCTCGGAAGTACATCTTCACATGGACATCTGCATAAGCAATCGGAACCGGAACCGGGCGCGGATGTGCACACGCGTGTATGCGCAGCGACGTGTATGCAGAACGTGCCGGTATAAAAGCTTAGAAAATACGCTGGTAAGTTGCAGTTCTCACCTAGCCGCCTCAAATATCGTAATGGTGAAGATGACTTTCAAGGTAGAGTGTCGAAACTCGTCGCGAAGGAAGGAAACGTGACGTGGATCAGAGAAAGTGCTCATTAAAGAATAGCTCCGCGACACAGAGACGAAACAGATAAAAAAAGAGATAAAAGGAGAGGGAAAGAAAAAAGAAAGCAGAAGGAGAGAGTGAAATATAAAGGGTTAAGAAGGGAATAAAGATGCGGTGGATTCTAAATTGCCATTAATTACGCACGTATAATTGGCCCGATAATATGCGCTTGGAAGGAAGTAAATAATTCGACATCGGGAAGGTAGCTCAACGCGGTTTTCTCGGAGAGCTAAGCAATGTCGTGAATGTAAAATGGGATTAAAGTGTTCCTTGACATTAAGTCTACTCGATGTAATTAGTTCATTCAGCTGGATTGCCACGAGCGTAAGTTTTTGCAAAAGATATAGTGTACGTTTCACAAGAGAACAGGGTGTGCTCAAGAGATGGTAAGGATTCTGGGGTTGAACTTCATGAAAATTAAAAAGTGCACGCTGACTTCTAACAAACGTTTCTCTTTAATTGTATTAAGCGCTTCTTTTGTGCTCGGCTAATCTTGAAGTCTTCTCAACCTCAGAGGTCTTATGTTAGTTGTTTTATTATAGCTAAGAGCTTCTATTATTTTCTTACGTACATGTGTGTGTATACGAGTGAATACATTTTCTGCTTATATATTTTAACAAACTCGCGTTTTACTTCTATTGTAAGAAAAACTGATATTAAGAGCCACAAAAGCTTTTAAATTAAGTTATTATTCTGATAATGTAAATTTTGATGATTGTGCAAAATTGTTTATTAGATTAAATTTGTTTATTATATATGCTTTAAATTTTGGGCGAATTATAACATGTAACATATATAATTTTTTGATAATATTACATTAAATATACATGATATTGTGAAGTTTCTCATAACTCGACGAGTGCATGTAAAATCTTACATAGTACATTTTAACATGCACATATTCTATCTCTTTTCGCATATATTTTACTATATTCCTAACTTGAGCGTATACTTATATATGTAATAATGCAAACTGTACTTCTCCACGTGCACTTTACATATATAATTATTACGATAAAACAGTGTCTGCAAGTTGCATTAGTTTTGACAAAATTTACATAAAATAAAATAATAATTTATGCTTGTATCTTATCGCTTGTAACATAGTCAATATTTTCAATCAAGTATCAATTTTGAATAATTTACGATATATTGTGTTTATCATTTTACGTGCGTGTTCAATCTTGCTTGAAGATAATATAATAATCTGCTGATTACATCAATTTATAATTACAAGTTAAAAGATTTTAATATCAAGTGAAATACTTTAATTTTTAGTCGCGAAGGCTGATGAAGCGGAAAACAGTTTTACTGAAATATCTAAAAGTTTAGCTAGATATAAATCTGAAAATAATTCTGTTTGGACCACAATATTGTAATTATGCAGGACACTCAAGCGCCTCAAGCTAGTTGCTGAAACGTTAAAACTTGTTGCAGCATTGTCATCACGCTCAGGTTCCCTAAAAAAATTATTATGATGGTCCAACAAAATTATTTTCAGATCTGTATTCAGCACAATGTCAAGTCTTTTAACATAAAATCGTTCTTTTCATGTAATTAATGTTAATTAGAATTAATTTAATTAATCTATTAATTTTTAATTAATTATATAAAATGTATTACGCGGTTTATATTGAAAGAATGATTTTAAAGTATCTAAAAATAGATATAGATTTAAAAAAAGTATCTAAAAACTAGATACAGATTTAAAAGAATTTTGCTGGACCATCAAAATAATTATGTATTTTGATATTCTGATAATCAGCTTGAACGTTTTTTTACATAATTACTTTATACAAATTTGTACAGCTAAATTTTTAGATATTTCAGCAAACTCGTTCTTTTCGTGTACGAGCAAAGACGAAGAAACTTTCTCCGATGAATCGTACGTCCATTTCGCTCTTTCAATCGAGTCACTTCCATCGTATTGGTTTACGTTGGTTTGAACATTGACGACCGAGCTGTCAGGATCCCCGTAATTAAAAACGAGAGGTCGATGACTCGGCCATCGCTACTCGATGTCGATGTATATTGTAAATGTCTAGAGTTTCATCATGGGATCGAGTGAGTTTTGTATACACAAGCGACATCGATCGTATAGATCGTATAGATCACGGTTACATTTCCGTGCAATTTTGACTCATCCAACATATTTTATCAGCTTGAAATATTCCACCTTGTTTGACTGTTTATACAGATACATGAAAAAGGTATCTGACACTGGAACACATAAAAATGTTTAAATCATATCTTCCTTCGCTCGGCAATTCCTTCCCGTCAATCGATTTTATTCTGCAATAAAATTTTTTTCTAAAAGAAGCTTTTTTCCCCATAAATAAGAAAATCGCAATGGACCAGGAAAATTACGAAGACGAGTAAATATATCCAACGCTCATGTAAATGAACTATTCGGTTCATAACGCACGCTATTTACAATCATGATCGATAACTACCAGAGCATCGAAAGCCCCTTCCGCTGTGTCCAGAGGTGAGTCTCCGGACAACACGACACCATCGACATGAACTTCTTGTGTCGCAGGTCACCGTCGCACTAACCATTGGCCTCGCCCTGGTCGATCGATCAATCGCCGGCGTGATACTGGACCATGATCATCATGTCTCGGTGGCTAGCTCGTACATGCATTTTCAAGGGCCAGTACAGGGACCCGAATACGAAGTGAAAGTGCCACACGTACCTGTGGACCATCTTAGTGAGCACAACTTTCTGGGCCACAACGAGCATCACCATCACGACGGTTACACAGTCGACTATGTGGCGAAGCCAAAGTATGAATTCTCATACGGTGTCGAGGATCATCATAGCGGCGACTTTCACGGCCAGAAGGAGTCCAGCGATGGTAAGTGAAAAAGGACGAGTCACTTTTATACTTCCGTGACTTTCGCGAGACGACAATGCTACGAGCCGAGTCTTTGAATGGCCGGCTACCTGTGGCTACGTCGTTTATCCGATTTCCACTGGCGCCAACACGACGTTCCGCTGACGTCGGCAAAAATTGCCATGGGTGAAAAGAAAATTGCATTTCTGCGAAGACTGTCCGCGAGCGCACCCTCCGACACATCGAGAATAGACGAGCCAGTATATGCGAATACTTATGCGTACGTGTATGGATGTGAGTATATGTACATTCGTGTCAACTCTTCAGTTGGAACTACGTTTTCTTACTTGAGTTGTGAAGTTGACTCGAATTGTAAACTGGCTTCAACAGCACATCGGTACGATATCGTATAAGCATGCCGTGTCGAAGTATAAACTTACCTTAAAATAGAACAAACTTTACAAATGCATTCCTTAATCAGTTGGAATCAATTCTTCTTTAGAAAATGAAAGAAAGTGTTCAATTTTTTAATTACAAGCGACTGAAAAACATTTCGAGAATTACGCTTCAAAAATTTAAATAAATAAAAACGATCTTCGTCTGCACTTTAAGCAAATTTTGTTTGAACAGAATTTTTTGAGTTTTAAATATGTCACGGTACGTAATGTAAATATAAAAAAAATTATGATAGAAGAGCGTTCCTTATTAAACCTTCATTTTAAAAAATTAATTTTGAATTAATTAAAATTATTAAAAGATACGTATGCAAAGATTCAAACATTTCATTTAACATTTTGCATAATTGCATAAAAGTGGAATTATTTAAAATTATATACATAATATTGAGATAACTAAACTTTGCGCGCGATTCTAATGAAATAGTTTCTAAAATAAATTTAAATTTTTATTGTCATGCATAACAATTGAAAAAGCAAAGAAATCAATAGATAATATTTATATAGGTTGCTCTAATTCTGGAATTATTTTACATCAGAAAAATTTCGTCAAACAGGATTTATAAAGTAATTATTGATAACATAAAAAGTTATTATTAACCTTCCGTCTGCAATTCGAATTTTTTTTGGCACGAGCGAAATTTTACTCCCAAACTTCGAAATAAAAGAGAGTGGAATCCGGTTCCCTTATTGCTACGTTATACATTTTTTAACAAATTTCCACTTTTACTCATTTTTGCTAAAATTTCAACTTTTATTAAATACAGGTTTTAATATTTGGGTTAAAAAACTATTCGATAATGAAATAGAGAAGTTAAAAAATTACCCTGAATTTTTCCATGTTTTTTAAAAGCTTGAATAGTAAAAAAACTTGGGTTGGACAAAAAAGAGCCAGATTGCGAGCAGAGAAAGTAAAAATATAATAACACTAGACGGAAAAGATTTAACCATTTTTCTATCTCCGGTTACGGATTATCCACAATCTCGAACTGCATCAAGAAACTCCTTTCTACCTCTTGAAAGCTATTTCTTTCACGCAGGACACGGCGTGACCGGGGAGTATACCGTGAAGGATCCAGGTGGCAGCCTCCGGGTCGTCACCTATCACGCGGACAAGGAGGGATTTCACGCAGTAGTACACACTACCGGGAAGAATGATCATTCAGGCGGAGTCTACGGCGGTCAAGGACATGAAACCCAAGATCACTTACACGAGTATGCCGCGTTATCCGCGCACGATGCAGCGTTCTGAAAGAAAACTATAGCGACCATCATGACAACTGGTGACTGATCGTTTTTGTTTGTACCTGGCACGATTAGACTTTTCCTTTCCCGAATCGTCAACATTGATGTTTCCGTTTTGTATACCAAAGGTAACAACGGTGCTGTCCATCCGACATTACACGCAAGGATAACGTATCGTATATTTGTAAATATATAGTTTATCCCTCTTGTACACGATAAACGACATAAACATGATGGAAGAATACATGTTTATTCCTTTTGTGTTATGTAGGCACTAGTATGCCCTGCTTTTCCAGTATATAGAAAATTATTGACAAAACGTGATAGACACATAAACTATATGAATAAAAATTTACAAGATTAATAAAGGTTTCCGATGAATAATTAACGTTTCACTTAATTGAAGTAACGTAACCGAAAATATTTTTTATTATGTTTTCCTATTCTTTTATGCATAAAACTCTTTTTATATTTATCGAAAACCTTTTAATTGATTAACATTTTAATCGAGCGCTCGAGTTTATTTGAAAACTCCCGCTGAAATGAGTGAAAAGTTAAATATACAATATAAGCCACCCACAAGTTATAATTACTCAATTTGCGAGAATTTCTGCGCTTTACTAAAATTACTCGATGGCCCGAATTCTGACTGGATTCGTTAAAAAAAAAACAATATAAAATATTTAAAAAATATAAAACATTTCTAAAAATACAATAAATTGATCATTTTGTAGTCCCAATTACAATATTTATTATCGAATTTATTTTCGAAAGGATATTAACACTACTATTGTTTACATAAATTTTACATGCTTTTATGAATTTGACAGACATTGAAAGGTATATTTTATTTCGAATTATATAGTATTTTATGGCAAAAACAAAGTGATGTGTGCCTAAGCTTATTAACTGATACACACCTGATCTGATTATAAAAGGTATACGAGAACTATGTCTCAACATGTTACATAACAGCTCAGAAAGATAAAGTGACAGTGATGATACACGCGTGGTGCAATTACTTTAAAGTTATGCTGTAAATTATCTGTCGCATTTCAGTGGGACGCGACATAATATGCATATACTGTAATAACATGGAGGTCGCATTGTTACGAGATAGAGCATCTTATTATGCGACTATCGATCATTAATACTAGGAAACTGTGTGACAGAAGATCCGCGAGCAAACACATGTAACGGGTGAATCGCGAGGTATTGCGCACTAATGAAAATAAACTGCTCGTAACAGAGGAATACGAGTGATAACTTCTAATGTTCTTAAATGCGAGGAGATTCCAATTGCCACTGATCACGTGGATTATCGAGTAACGAGTGGCGCAGGGTTGATCGCTGGCGAAATGAAAATCCAGGTCACAGAATTGAATTATCCATTGAATATTATGGACGCGCGGACTAGAAATTGAAAATCATCATCGGCGATGTTGTTATAAAGTAAACCACGAAAAAAAGCGCTTCTTTTCGTATGTTTAACAAAGAGTTAAAAAGCTCATTTAGAGCCCTCCTCTCTCTTTTTTTCTTTTTTTTTCCCTTTTCTCTTTCCTTTCTTTCTCTTACAGCGCGGTTTCGTGTTACTAATATACTAACAGAAGTTCTTGTAATTACTACTTTTAAAAAAGAATAATTAAAGTAAGCGAAAGGAGTGCGCGTTTTATTTATGAAAAGCCACGTACTGAACATTCGCAAAACAAATATCACATACAAATAAACATCATAAAGTGATGTTTTGCGAATGTTAAACGTAACAAATTTCGAGAAAACAACAAATGGAAGGTGAGTCGAGAATGCTGTAAAACAAACCAAAAAGCAGAAGAAAGATATGTTTTGCAAGTTACAGAATAGAAAAATTTATATATTTTATGTATTTTATGTATGAGTCGCAACAATTGAATATTTAAAGGTGATTCTTCTGTAGTATATAATTCGGGAAAAGAAGAGGAAGAGTCATTTAATTCGATCTTATCATTGGAACAGACAAAGACGAGCACATCGTTAAACTGTATCTTGCACAATCTGTCTGATAATAACAAAATGTCATTATCAAGAATGTTTTGAGGAAAAACGCTTAATCCCATCGAGGATATTTCCGAAGCAATAGCGCACACGACCTAGGGGAGATAAAAGAAACATATTCTCGAGCTAACAATAGCGAACGATGCCGATGCAGAAGTGCTTGGAGAGAGGCAGAAGGTGAGAATTCGCACAACGTTAACGCTCCAAATATTACGTATATTACGTCATTAAATCGATATCGACATTTCCGATAAATATTCGCAACACATTATAAGTATTGCAACGAATCAGCAATGTACATTTCAATAAGCGACAAATCTCATATCGATAAGACTAAATATCAGTGGTGGAAAGAAAGTGTCTAATAATTTTATCCGTGTGTCGCTTAAAACTTACACTCGCGTGACATCGAAATCGCGCCCACCTTACGTGCCTTCGTCGTTTCGAACGATCGTGATAACGACTGTTATATATGTAGATATTTCGAGGGTGTTTCCAACCCCTGAGAGTCGGCCGCCTGCAGCAATTTCCGCAATACCGCGCGAGCTACTAATTACTGCTGGCATCGCGATGATTATTGCTCCCGCTGCTCGTACCTTCAACAAATCGCTCGTGATCGAGCCCTCCGCTACCGCGACGTAAATGTCGTATGCTGTCTGACAAAGGAGAGTTTATACTCGGTTTACCTCCGATCCTCAGCCGCGTTTACTCTGTAGAGAACATTCTAGAGTGAATTTCACCTCATCAGTATTACCAAGAATTTCGTAATATTCGAAAATACGAATGTTATTGTAAAAATTTAGAAAAATTTGAAAAATTTCACGTTATTGGAAGATTTTTATTTTCCTGTAATAATAATAAAGCAAAATTTTGAAAGGGGTATTAATCAATGTAATTACAGTTTTAATTACTGTATACCATGTAATCTTATTTGGATATAGATTTTGAACATTCTCACGTTTTATCAACCGGTTGATAACCATTGCTTACGCCTGTAGGGCGAACAAATTAATAATTCATATTGCTGATTGGAACATACGATTGTTGCAATCAAGGTTGTCTCGTCAACATAACGAGGACTTCGTGCATCATGGTTTTATTTGCGTACTCGAAGCATTATAATAATTATAATGCGAACATGTGCATTATGCAGCATATCAAAACGTATGTAGTTACGCGGATTGTAATTCTCTGAAAGTGCTATTACAAAAGCGCTTTTAGAATAGAATATTTCCGCAAAATATCTACAAAATTTTTAATAAATTACCAGGATTTTTTGGAATTATCTAAAAAATTTATAATGAAGTACTTTTTAAAAAATTTTCTTATTTTTTTAGTTTAACGTTTTGTTAATGTTTCTTTTAACACTTTCTATTAACTGTTTTATAATAAATAAAATGCCATTTACAAACTTTGACACGTTAATGTCTAACATATTGTAGCTTTTATAATTCTAAAATAATTCTATAATTTATAATATATATTCTAAAAATTGTCAGCTCATTAAAAAGATTATAACACTCTTTATATCAGATATTTAAGCTTTTTCCAGAAATTTCCAGAGGAACATATGCGGCATCTTGAATATTCCACAAAAAGAGGCTCTGCATGATGCACTTGCTATGCTGGGCTCGACTCGACCGTAAATTTGCACACGACTAGCAAGCTTGATATAAAAAAAGCACGAAGTATAATTCGTCTCGCGAAACAGCAGAGAAAAGTAGACAACCGATTGGCGAATCGTAATTTTTGTGAACTATTTTTCCGCGCGCATTCACAGTAATAAATCATTTTACGTAATACTAGCAAATCTCGTATGATCAAGGAAGATAATCGCTAGATATAATAATTGCATTGCGTAAATAGTGACTACAATTGTCTATATGCCAATATATTGAAATATTTTTTTATAAATATGTTTTATAAATATATATTGTATATTATAAGTATACACATATATAATTATTTTAGAAAAAATATATAATTATTTTATCTAAATTTTAAGTAACTCTCCTTTTATCTAAATTATGTAAAAGGAGAATTACTTAAAAATTACTTCTGCAACAAATAAATTAAAATCCAAATTAAAATTGAGTAAAAAAATAACTCCTAATCATTACTTTAAAAAATAATTGCAATATGAACACATGCAATTTGCTGCAAAATAATCGTACAATTATGAAAATATAATTTTTGTAAGCATTAAATTTTGAACCCATTATTTAATTATAGATATATGACAATTATATATTTTCTATAATAATATAATTATACATTTTTTTACAAAATACATAATTCTAAAATAATTCTAAAATATATAATTCTAAAATAATTATGTATATCCTTTAAAGATCTTAATAAAAATTAATTTGTTGAAAAATAAATTGAAAAATAAATTGAAAAATAATCGTACAATTATGAAAATGTAATTTTTGTAAGCATTGAATTTTGAACCCATTATTTAATTA